ATCTACCATCAAAAATAATTACCGAAATCCCTCAACAAAAGCACTACAGTTGAGAATTATCCAAAATTTCGCCGTTCAGAACCCCAAAAATGGCAGTCACCGGGTTAGTAGCGACATTTACTATTAGTTTGTCCCAAACGTGATAATACAACGAAATCATCGCGGAGCGAGCAAACTACAACAGACACTTTCGAGTTGTGCATGCGTGCAGAATTATACTGACTTAACTACTACGCGTAGGAGGCCACCAAATATATCAAACGACTCCTCTATATGCCGAAATTCCCGCATAAATCGAAAACTTTTTACGGCAAAATTTTCTACCAAGGAAAATATATCGAATCCATTGATCCGATCAGTAGACGAGGACTAAGCGAGCTCCACCTCTTCATCAAGAAAACCTAATACCCCAGTCTCGAGTTCGTTATAGCCCTACCATCTGCTGAGCTTCATCATCATCAACAGCATCTGGCACATTGCAGGGAACCTGGGCGTCCTTGAAACACGCTGATAGTAATCGAGGGAGATTGTCATCTGCGTGCTCAGAGATACTCTTCGGGGGGATAAGCTAACACAAACCATAAAGGCCACTCATACGGTAGAGGACGATCATCGCAGTAGCCTATCTGATTGATTCTACCACTACTTATAATCAACTTCAGCACTTCCAGAGCAAATCCAACTTCGATGATGTTGTGTGTAGGTTGTATAATGCAATTAGGATTTCCCAGTAACATATAGCTCAGTCCATATACGAGTTCGGGTAGAGGTGTTCAGAAACTAGTAGCAATTTCTCAACTCGCTCATATGCTTCCAAAGCGGCAACTTTACTCCATAAAAAGAGCACCAACCCGGATACCTGCAAAAAATAAAACGTCGATTATCACATTGGAGTTTCACCCGTCCAACGTGAAGTGGCGTTTTGATACTCCATGTAAATTCAAGACGAGTTTTTTTCGTGGAGTGAATTGTGAAATATGTTTTTCACTAGTGTCTCTCATATAACGGGTAAAACTTCATCATCATCATCATCATAGCTCACCTCCGCTGAAGAACTCTTTGGTAGGAGTTTCTGAAGGTATGGTAGTAATCCTGCTTTGAGACATAACCGAAGTTCAGATCTTTGGCGTTGATGATGGTGTGGTACGTATTGGCGGTTATGATGATGTCCGTGATGTGACTCAGAAGCCCAGTCTAAGAGCCCAGATAGGATGCGTACCACAGGATGTAGTGTTGTTCATTGATACCATCATACGGTAGGGCTATCTCTACAGGGGATACGTATGCAGTGTTGATGATGATGATGATGATCTACTAGGTATGGTCGTCTTGATGCAACAGATGGGGAAGTAGCTCGTAAGGGTGGGTTTGACCAGCTTGTTAAACAGCAGCTAGATGGCATGAATACTGTATGCTCATGCTCACTGATATTGCATTGATGTAGCGTCCCTATTAGGTTGTCGGTGAGAGGAGCCTTAAGCTCTCAGGAGGGGAGAAGCAGAGGTTGGCCATAGCCAGGTGTAGAACACCCCAATACTGTTGCTCGACGAGGTGAACGAATACTCCAACCTGCTTGTGGTGATGGTCCATACTTCTTCCAGGCTACTACCTCTGCATTAGACTCTGCTACTGAGCAAGCCGTGCAGATAGCATTAGCCAATCTAAGGGAGAATACCACAACTATTGTCATTGCACATCGTCTCTCTACTATAAGGCATGCCAACCAGATAGTGGTATTAGGATATTACGATAGAGAGGAGCATCCTGAACTATACCCCTGAAGTGATCTTATAGGATCTCCCGAATAGGTGCTGGAGTTCGGCAAGCTAGTTGAGAAGGGCACTCATGAAGACCTTATTAAACAACCAAACAGGAAGCTACTGTCGTTATGATTGTGTCCTATCATTCATTGGGCAGGTATAGAGATCTGTGGGAGAAGCAGCAGAGAGGTATCGATGTTGATCTGCACTTTGGTGGTGAGATGCCCAGTGGTGAGGACAGCAGTAGTAGCAATC